CCAGGGTTGCTTCTTATTCGGAGGCAACTGTGGAAAATAAGTTTGAAAACGAAAAAGACTTTGAAACCGTCTCCAATTGGAAACGGGAGGCCCGTAAGAGAAAGGCCTTGAAGAGAGCGGAGGAGAGGGAGGGACTTCAGAAGCGCCCCCCAAAATTAGAACCACAAAGGCAATTCCAGGAATTTTTAAAAGCTTGCGCCACGGATTCAAGCACCAAAAAAACGTCAGTCGTGACATCCAGGGTGGCGTGACGGTTTTGGAAAGTGCGTTCGATATAGTGTGTAAGAATTTACGTTTTATCCCCGAGCCTTTTAAAGACCAAGAGCCGCAACATCCAACTGTCGGAGCTCCACAGCAGACGGAGAGCACTACTGCAGCTCTGAACGGCGCAACGACATGCCCTAATAAGGCAAAAGGCGTTAATAAACGCCCGAGGGAAGGTGCAAGCCCATATGCGAGTCCGCAACGGACGACTCAAGGCGGGAAGAGAATTAAGCGAAAGGATGCTCCACAGCGTGGTTCTGAGTCGCTAGTTGGAAAGAAAGAGGCGCCCTCAAATAGTCCTGGCAAGTCGTATGCTGAGACCGTTTTGAAGGACGGAGCGGACAATGGGGACGGCTTCAAAGTTGTTAGAAACAGGAAGAAACGGACTCCAAAAGAGAAGCCCTCAGGTGAGAAAAAAGTTTCCGAAGCCCCCTTTGAAGCTAAGGAGCACGGAAGCCGTTAAAATCACGGCAAGAGACCCAAGTTTGTATGAGGGTATCTTGCCGCTGATAAAAGCAAAGGTAAACCCATAAGATACGGGTGCCGTGATCCGGAAAATCAGGAGAACTTTTAACCAGGAGGTTCTCGTGATAGTGAAAAATGGTGGAGAGACCTTAAAATTTGCAGATGCACTGTCTTCTGCCCTGCATGGCAAAGCTGAGGTCACACCTCTAGTGAATAGAAGGTCTCTAGAGATTAAGGATTTGGATGAAGCCACCACAGAGGATGAGGTGACTTCAGCACTGAGAGAAAAGCTGGGTAAACCTGACTTGACGATGGAGTGTACACTTTTGCCGCGCTACAGAGGAACTAAGGTTGCTCTGGTACGTCTGACAGAGGCAGAAAGTAACACTCTGCTAATGTTTGGTAAAATGAAAATCGGCTGGATAAATTCTCCAATTCGCGAGCATGTTGAAGTAGCTAGGTGCCAAAAGTGCCTAGGTTACGGACACAGAACCCTATCCTGCAAAGGCTCCGACAGAAGTAAAAACTGTCGGAGATGCGGCAGAGAGGGACACCTCGCGAAGAGCTGTAACGTTAAGCCGAAATGCCTTACTTGCTTGGACCTGGGAAAGCCAGAAACGGATCATGAGTCTGGAAAGAGAGCCTGCCCGGTTTACAGGAAAAAACTGCAAAAGATTAAAAGGGCAAATCCTTAAAATTTTTGCAGGTCAACCTGCATACAAGTAAGGATGCACAGCTGCTCCTAATGCAAACAGCAAGGGAAAATGAGGTCGATATCCTGTTCTGCAGTGAGCAATATCAAGGAAGCGACCTCGCCCCTTGGTATCAGAATAAGGCGAAGAGAGCCGCCATAAAGCTGTGCAACCCAGAATTGCGGGTTGACAAGTTTCTGGAGACGAGCAGTGGGTTCGTGTGGATAGAGGTGGCTAATATACGTATGTATAGCTACTACTTCTCACCCAACGACCTACTGACAAACTTCAAAGCCAATATCGAGGACCTAGAAGCGAGCTTCACAGAATCCAGGCTGGATGTCATCATCACTGGCGATTTTAAAGCAAAGTGGCCAGAGTGGGGTGAGACGAGACGCGACAAGAGAGGAATTCGTATTGGAGAAATGATCTCCAGAAACGACTTATTGGCTGTAAACCGAGGCAATACATGGACTTTTAGACGAGGTGCGATCGGATCAATTATAGATCTAACAATCGCATCGTCTAAACTATTTAGCCGCATAAGCGACTGGCGGGTCTCTGAGGAATATACCGCAAGTGACCACCAGTACATTGAGTTCTCAGTCTCGATGGGAAACACACGAGGAGGAAAAAGACAGGATGCTCCTTGTCGCAAAACCTCCTCGTGGAATATGAAGAGACTCGACAAGGGAAAGTTCGGCCGGTCCCTAAGAGAAGCCCTTTTAATTGAGGACTTGGGCTGGGTGAAGAGGCCGAGCAGTCTGGATAGGGAGGTGCGAGTGGTGAGGAACATGATAGTCACCGCTTGCAATGCGTCAATGCCACGCAAAGGCGCCATTCCCATAAGAAAATCCTTGCACTGGTGGACAGAGGAGCTAGCCTCCTTGAGGAAGGAATGCCTCAAAGCAAGAAGGACATATACCCGATCTAAGGGACATCCCTTGCTGAAAGAGGCTTTCAATGAGGCGAAAAAGAACCCCAATAAAGAGATCCGCAAGGCTCACACTTAGTGAACTACAAAAAGCAGGCAAAAGATTGAAAACAGGCAAGGCGCCTGGAATCGATGGGATAAGTAACGAGATCCTAAAGTTGGTAATCGACACTTCACCCTAGATTCTGCTTTGATGCTTTAATCTTTGCCTTGAGAGAGGAAAGTTCTTCCGCGACTGGAAGCTACAGAGGTTAGTCCTCCTAAGGAGAGGTGAAAAACCTCTAGATAAGGTTTCATCGTACAGGCCTATATGCCTGTTGGATACAATGGGTAAACTTCTAGAGGATATGGTTTTGCAGAGAATGCAAAGCCACTTGATCGGAGAGAATAGTCTATCGGATCACCAATTTGGTTTCCGTAAAGGCAAGTCCACAGTTAATGCCATCCAGGCAGTTGTGGACATAGCCAAAGCAGGAAAAAACAAGTTGAGACCCGGAAAAAAGAAGAGCTTCTGCGCGTTGGTAGCAATTGACATACGCAACGCGTTTAATTCCGCAAGATGGAAAGATCTCATCGAGTCGATGAAAAAGAAAAACATGCTGCCCTACTTGTTGCAGATAATGAATAATTATCTTAGCGACAGGTGGGTTATATATGAGGGAGACACCTGCACTCTCAAGGAAGAAATGCAGCGTGGGGCTCCTCAAGGCTCGAAGGTGGGTCCATTTGTATGGAATGTATCTTATGATGATTTTCTGCAAATGGATCTGCCCGAAGGTGCGGTGATCATCAGCTTTGCGGACGACGCGTTGTTCGTGTGCACTGCCGAAAGTGAGGAGGCTCTTGGGACATTGGTGAACAAATGTCTGCGACTAGCAAAAAGCTGGCTGGATACCAGAGGTCTTGAAATGGCCCTGGAAAAGACCGAGGCACTGCTGGTCACAGACAGACGTGGTTATGAGCTCCCACGAATCGTGATAGACGGATTCGAGGTCAAGTGGAGTAAGCAAATTAAATATCTTGGTGTGCAGTTGGATGGAAGGTTAAACTTTCACCACCACATGGCTACGGCGTCAAATAAGGCGATTGAGTGTGCGGCTAATCTTTCACGGTTAATGCCAAACGTAGGCGGACCCCGTGAACAAAAAAGAAGACTGGTGGCGAGTGTCGCCCACGCTAAAATGCTCTATGCGTTGGCCCCATCCCTGAGAAGTAAATGATGTGTGACCATCTGTGAAAAGGTACTGTCGGCGCAGAGATCGATAACAACGTGTATCATCTCTGCATATAAGACGGAATCTACGAGTGCTGTGCAGGTCCTTGCAAGTGTCCCGCCAGCAGATCTTTTAGTGAGGGAAAGGGAAGAAATGTTTCTCTATTCTAAAGAAAGCAGTTCCCTGGATGAGGAATTAAGACCAAGCAAGGGCCTGATCCGCAAAGAAGCGAGGCACAGGCTCATAGAAAGATGGCAAGAAAGATGGGATGGTGAGGAAAAAAGTCGATAGACTTATCGCGTTATCCAGGCACTCGCCACCCGGATAAATAGGAAACATGGTCAGGTCTCCTATTATCTGACTCAGGCGCTCACAGGTCACGGGTGTTTTAACTCGTACCTGTGTCGCTTTAAATTACGCGAGGACGAGGTGTGTGCATATTGCCAGTTCCCTGAGGACAACGCGAAGCACACCCTCTTCTCATGCAAGAAATGGGACTTGGAGAGGCAGGCCATGTTCGAAGGTGTAAACAGACAAGTTACACCGGAGAACATGGTATCGCTGATGACCCAGTCAGAAGAAAATTGGCGGCATGTCGAGAACTTTATAATCTCGGTTATGTCGAGGAAGGATCTCGACGGTCGCCAAAAAGCGTAATTTAAACAGATTTTAATTTGTTTTGTTTGTTTTTTATTAATATATTTTGTGATTTATGTGTCCTTATACATTTTTTAATTGTTTTGTGTTTTTTTTATCATCTTTGTACAGTTTTGTCTTTTTAACATTATATACGTGTTTACTTTTTTTTCTTTTCTTTTTTATATCCGTTTGCGATTTTATCTTTTGACTTTTTAAACTTCTTAAAAAATTTTTTTTTTTTGAAATTATTGTTGTGCTGTAAATTCCGCTTAGACTATGAAATAATTTTAATCATTTTTTTAACTACGGACGCAGGAAAACCGTAGAGAGAAGAAGAAGGTTGTATTAACGACAGACTTGGAGCGCCATCCTCGAAGGCTAAAGTCTTACGACAGTTCCGAGGGAGGGTAAAGGGCTCCAGAAGAAGGGTTACGGGTTTTAGTTGGTCGGGCTGGTAGTAGGTCGCCAGTTTATTACATTTATTATAACATTAATTTATTTATCTTTCTTTTAATATTTCCTTTTGTTTCATTTTACCAACCCCACATAACCTTGGAGTGTGGAATCCAAGGTATCTGTAGGCAGATTTCCTAAAAGTCCGTAAGCAAAAAATAATAATAATAATAATTCATCAGCTTTGCGGACGACGCGTTGTTCGTGTGCACTGTCGAAAGTGAGGAGGCTCTTGGGACATTGGTGAACGAATGTCTGCGACTAGCAAAAAGCTGGCTGGATACCAGAGTTCTTTAAATGGCCCTGGAAAAGACCGAGGCACTGCTGGTCACAGACAGACGTAGTTATGAGCTTCCACGAATCGTGATAGACGGATTCGAGGTCAAGTGGAGTAAGCAAATTAAATATCTTGGTGTGGAGTTAGATGGAAGGGAATTTACTAGCAACTGAAAGGAAAGGACAAATAGGAAGGTGAGAAAAATATATTTTCTCAAAGCATTTTTTTTTACAATATCTTACATAAAAAAAAAGAATCTAAATAAAATGGAACAAAAAACAGGAATAATAAAACAATCCCTTGAAAATATATTCGGTCCAAAGAAAGAGCCTGACACTAATACAGACGGCAGTTTCATAAAACCAGAATCCCGTGCAGAAGAAATTAAACTCTTGGAAGAAGAAATTCAAGACAAACAAGCATTACTCGAGTCCATAAAGGAAGAAACACCACAAGCATCAGCCCCGACAGAAGCAGATTCCTTCTTAAAACGAAAGGATGTAATTTCTTGGGTTTCTTTCTTTGACGGATCGGGAAATGTGCGAATTTTTTGTACGAGAAATCGAGGACGTGCTATCCCAAATGTACAAGTGGATAGATAAAAAATGTGTTCTACGTATGGTTTTAGCTAGTCGTGTAACGAGCCCCGCTGAAGATTTAATATGCTCCCAGGAAGCCGATAATTGGGAAGAAATTAAGGATTTGCTATTAAGTTATTATGATATTCAAGATTTGCCATATATATATGGGGCAAAATTCCTCAATTGTCCTAACTTAAAATCGAAAGTCTTCAAATCAGGCTGATTTTTGCACAAACTTTAATACTATGGGAGAGAACTTTACCCATAAAATATAAAATATATTTTATTAAAAATTGTAGGGGGGAGAGGGGGTTAAAGTTTTTGGTAACGTGTGGACAGTGGATTCTTTTAGATAATATAGCTAAAATACAGTAGAGTGGACAAAATTTTGACCAATATGTTTTCGAAAGGTTTTTTCCTCCTCTTTCGAATGGTGTAAAAATTTTTTTTTTAATTAACAATTTAACTAATTTTTTTCAAAATTAAAAATATTTTTCACTTTTTTTTAAAAAACGGCATTTTTTTTCTCTTTTTTTGCTTTAAAATAAAGCTTAATATGTGTACTTTCCATAACTGATTCTGAAAAAATGACGTTTTTTTTTGTTTTCGAATTATTAATTAATTAATTAATAAAAATCAGTAAAAAATTACTAAAAAATGAAATATTTTTTAAGCAAGTAAACTTTTCTGAATTATGAGATTATCATCGTAAAGCTTACCTAATTCCGCATCCAACAAGTATAATTACGCACCTATTTTTACAAATAATTGTTAAATAAATAAATAATTGAAAATTTATTTATTAATTTCTTGAAAAAAGAACATTTTTTTCTTCTTTCTTGCTTTAAAATAAAGCTCAATATGTGTACTTTCAATACTCGATTAGGAAAAAGTGCCGTTTTCTTTTGTGTTTCGAATAATTAATTAATTAATTAATTAATTAATTAATTAATTAATTAATTAATAATAGTAAGAAATTACTAAAAAATTAAATATTTTTCAAGCAAATAAACTTTTCTTAATTATGAGCTTATCATCGTAAAGCTTACAAAATTCCGCATCCAGCAAGCATAAACTAAACTGTTTTTTATAAATAATTGTTAAATAAATAAATAATTGATTATTTATTTATTTATTTTTGGAAAAATGACATTTTTGCTTCCTCATAAGAAAGCTTTGCATTCGTGACGATTTTCAATTTTTCAAAAGAAGGTTATATGGACTCATTTTCATCTATAACATATGTATATTCAATTCTGAGCAAATGTCCAGATGTATGTGTGTGTGTGTATGTCACAAAAATTGTGTACAAATTATCTCAAACAAATTTTGATGGATTGTTTTGAAATTTTGCAGGTTTATTGCAGTCATTAATACCTAAAATCTGACACAAGGATTTTCAAAAATATCTAAAAAAAAAATTTTTATACAATTTTTTTTAAATTCAAAAAAATTTTTTTTTTGTATTTTTGTAAATAATTTTTTTATCTGTTAATATTTTAATTAATTATTCTCAAAATTACATTCCTGACAAGAAAACGAATCGATTGATGTATACAAAGTATATTTTTTATCAAAATTTATAAAATTAATAGAAATTTTTCTTTTTCACAAAAAATTCAAATTTTGTATTTATTCGTAATTTATTTTATATTAATATTTTTAAATGATTATTCTATCATAAAAAAAGAAGCAATTTGCATATGAAATAGAGGTGTGCATTTAATCGAGTCGAACCGAACATTAATCGACTCGACAACAGAAAATTCGAATCATTTCGAATTGCAAAAGTTTGCAAACCGCAATATAATTACATTTAATTTATGAATATATTTTGCTGCATCAAAAAGAAATTTTTTTAAGAAGAATGTATGCTTTGATTGTTATGCTTTTGAAAAATCATAATTTGGTTTTCATTTTTCATTTTAAAATTTTTTGATATAACAAAGGTTTTTTACAAGAAAAAATTACTAGAATCTATAAATCATTTATTTATGATAATGTTTGATTAAAATTAGAATAAAGTTTTAAACATAAAAAAACATTGTTATAAAAATAAATTAATATAAATTTTTTATTTTTAAACAAAATTGATAAATGTTTGTATGAATGTGTGTATGTTCCCGATTTTATGGGATAAATTTAATTTTATACATATGTTTAGATGGAGTTTGCTAGAATTTTGTAAGTGAATTACGTCACGAATTTATATTTTATATGTTGAGGAAGCTAAATGGTCATGAAATGAACAAGTTGTTTATTTTTATTCTTATTTCAAGCAAAGCTTAATATGTGTACTTTTAATACGCGATTAGGAAAAAATGACATTTTTCTTTTCGTATTATTTATTAATTAATTAATTAATAAAAATTATTTTAAAAATTATTATTTTTCAAAGAAATAAACTTTTCTTAATTTTGCGCTTGCCAACGTAAAGCTTACCAACTTCCGCACCCAACAAGTTTATTTTTAACTATTTTTTATAAACAATTTCAAAAAATTAATAAATAAATTATCAATTATTTATTTATTTAACAATTATTTGTAAAAATAGGTGCGTAATTATACTTGTTGGATGCGGAATTAGGTAAGCTTTACGATGATAATCTCATAATTCAGAAAAGTTTACTTGCTTAAAAAATATTTCATTTTTTAGTAATTTTTTACTGATTTTTATTAATTAATTAATTAATAATTCGAAAACAAAAAAAAACGTCATTTTTTCAGAATCAGTTATAGAAAGTACACATATTAAGCTTTATTTTAAAGCAAAAAAAAGAGAAAAAAAATGCCGTTTTTTAAAAAAAAGTGAAAAACATTTTTAATTTTGAAAAAAATTTGTTAAATTGTTAATTAAAAAAAAAAATTTTTACACCATTCGAAAGAGGAGGAAAAAACCTTTCGAAAACATATAGGTCAAAATTTTGTCCACTCTACTGTATTTTAGCTATATTATCTAAAAGAATCCACTGTCCACACGTTACCAAAAACTTTAACCCCCTCTCCCCCCTACAATTTTTAATAAAATATCTTAATATTTTATGGGTAAAGTTCTCTCCCATAGTATTAAAGTTTGTGCAAAAATCAGCCCGATTTGAAGACTTTCGATTTTAAGTTAGGACAATTGAGGAATTTTGCCCCATATGTAAAAGAACAGAGAAATAAAATTGTGCAGAGGCATAACGAATCAGTATCTACGTATTCTAAAAGATTTTTTGATTTACATAACAAAGTTATGAAATCAGCAGGACAAAAATCGGATGCAGTTAAGGCATCACATTACTGTAGGGCTCACAGATAAAATAAGTGAGAGAGTAGAGCAGCAAGCGCCACGCACCCTGAAAGAATGGCTTTAGCAATGGCTTTACCTTTAAATTCAGAAAGCACAATCCGAGAAAGAGAGCTTTGCAGAAAAATGGCTCAAGTTTCCCTTGATAAACGAGTTGATTTAAATAAATCAAGTTTTCATCGACCCGAAAATAAAAATTATCACTCTTCTGCGCGTGATAAAATACTAAATCAAGAAAAGGAAAAATCAAGACAATCATATGAAACAAGGGACCATTCATGCTCTTTCTGTCATCTCAAAGGTCATACCGAGTCAAAATGCTGGAAGAAAAATCACAAGCCAGATTTTTAGGAAGGCCGGAACATCTACGCTCCTCCGATAAGGAACACCGAAGAAGCAACAACATCCGATCCATACGAATCAGACGATGCGGACTCACTGAGCAAATACTCTACATCCGACCAACAGGAACCCGAAGAACTGTCCGACTTCTAATTGATTCAGGAGCAGAAGCTAGTATTATTAAAAAAGATGCTTTGGATTTCTTAACCTGTAAACCCATAAAGGATAAATCACGAAACGTTATTATGGGAAATAGTAGGATTAATATGCTAGGTACATGCAAACTAAACATTTTGGACAAAGAAGATACATATTTAGTAGCAAGAGATAATTTTCCCATCGAATATGATGGAATTTTAGGTATCGATGTTATGGAAAATCACAATGCCATTAACAACATAAAAGATCGCACTATTACACTGAGTGATGAAATTTTCAAACTAAATGAAACTCCCACAATAATACCTCCCCTTACTGCAAAAGTCTTTCATATTACTCTAGATAAAGATTATTCTCAACCATGCTTACTAGAAGGGAAGGATATTAGTCCTGGAATAATTTTAGGGAAACAAAAAGATAAAATTTATCACTATAATCCTACTTTGGATTATCAATACATTTATCAATCTGATATGACTGTTAAGCCTATTAAATTGATGGAACTATCAGAAAGTGTTAAAATTCGTACTCTCAAAACAGTTGATATTTTACAAAGAAGAGAATTACTCTTCTCTAACACGCGACTAGATCATTTGAAAAAAATAGAAAGTGAAACAATTAAAGAAATTATAGAAGAATTTACAGATGTTTACGATTTGCCTTTAATAAATGGAATTACGCACGATGTTCACCTTGATTCTGCTATCCCTGTACACACTAAACAATATAGATATCCACCTGTTCATCAAGATGAAATTAAGAAACAAACACAGGAAATGCGACAAAAAGGAATTATAGAAGAATGAAATAGTCCATATAGAAGTCCATTGTGGTTTGGTTCCAAAGAAGAAGGATGCATCAGGAATACAAAAATGGAGAATCGTTGTGGATTATAGAAAACTCAATGAACACACACCTCAAGACAGTTATCATTTGCCGAATACTGAGGAAATCATGGAAAGCATTGGAGGAATACATTATTACAGTGCCTTTGATTTATCTTTCGGATTTTATCAAATTGCTCTAGACGAGAAATCAAAAGAGAAGACAGCATTTTCAACGCCAGATGGACATTTCCACTTCAATAGGATGCCAATGGGATTAAAGAATGCTCCAGCAACATTCCAACGGGCAATGAATTTTGTACTGCGAGGATTAGTAGGTAAAATATGCTATGTCTACTTAGATGACGTCATAATTTTTGGCAGAACTTTAGATGAACATAATAAAAATCTAAGAACACTGTTAGAGAGATTACGGCAATTCGGTATCAAATTACAACCTGATAAATGTGAATATTTGCGTCCGGAATTGGAATACCTAGGTCACATTATTACAAAGGATGGTATAAAACCTAATAAAAATAAAATCAGTGCAATAGAAGATTTTAAAGCTCCAACCAACCAAAATGAAATTAAGCAATTTTTAGGCCTTACCGGGTATTATAGAAGATTTATAAAAAATTATAGTAAAACTGCTAAACCGCTTACAAATCTTTTAAAAAATGGAGAAGAGTTTAATTGGACTAGAAAGCAGCATGATAGTTTTGAACATCTGAAGCAAGCTTTAATTAAGGAACCGATTTTAATTTATCCAGATCACTCCAAGGAATTTTCAGTAACTACAGACGCCAGTAATTTCGCACTAGGAGCCGTTTTGTCTCAACAAGTCAACGGATTTGATAAACCAGTAGCATACGCATGACGTACGTTAAATAATGCAGAATCTCGATACAGCACTATAGAAAAAGAGTTTTTAGCCATTATATGGGCCACAAAACATTTTAGGAACTTTTTGTATGGTAAAAGATTTAAAATTCTAACCGATCACAAACCATTAAAATGGCTTATGAACGTAAAGGATCCATCATCACGCTTAATGAGATGGAGACTAAAATTGGAAGAATTTGATTATTATATAGATTATAAAAAGGGAAGTCTCAACACTAATGCTGACGCCCTATCTCGACAGGTACGAGCTTTGCAAGTTTCAGAAAACGAAGACGACGACTTTGAAGAGTATCTTACACAATACCGATATACTAATCTTCGACCTTTGAAGGAAGTGTGTAAGACTAAGTTCCTCTCCTTTGTTATTGGGACGGATAAAGATATAATAATTGACGGTGAAACAGAACCAAAAATCGCTTTTTTGAAGTTAAAAGGACATATGACTTCAATCGAAGAAAACACCTGCTACGACTTGTTACTTTTAGACGAAAATATTCGACTCAAACTCATCAGAATGATTAAGTATATTCTTACAAAATTTAGTGCAGACAATAAAGTTATTGAAATTATAATTCAGAATAGAAAAGAAATAAAAGATGCAAGTGAGCAAAGACAGATACTTAGGACCTTTCACGGACCTATTAATGGTCATTTAGGAATTCAAAAAACAATAGAAGCAATTAGCAAAAAATACCATTGTGTAAATTTACACAAGGACGTGGAAAACTATGTCAAATCATTTAAGGATTGCCAACTCACAAAACGTGCACAATACAACATTACAGCAGATGGAGTACTAATTTATCCACCTACACAAATAAATGAACGAATCGCCATCGATCATGTAGGACCCTTACCTGTAACGGAACGAGGAAACAAATCCATTTTAAGCATTCAGGATCAACTAACAAAGTTTTTAACTTTAATACCTGTTAAAAATGTTATCAAGTGGGAGATAAAATACTTGTAAAAAATTTAAGAAGTACACTTTTAGCAAGAATTTACAGTGGACCGTATATAATTACGAATATCAACCCAGAAACGCATACCATAACCTATAAAGTTAAAAATAAGGAATATAGGAGACATGTTAATGAAACAAAACCATTCGATGGATAATCTTTTTGTTACAGATGTTGCCTGTTCTTGTAATATTACTATTTCCAGTCTGTCTTGGATTAAACTATAAGGTCACTCCGATCAATACGCCTATATTCCAGGAAGAATTATTCGACGTACGACTCTACCATGAAGTATGGACCACGGTACACTTTGCTGATCTCCGCGATATAATTGAAGATATAAAACAAATAGAGAAACACATTGATAATTTGTCATACGTATGTACAAAATTTGAAGGATGCAATCATAAGGTTTCTATAGACAAACTTTACTCAAGAAATAATAAAATCAAAGATAGAATGGACACTTTAATTAGTTTAAATAGTCATAAACGCAAGAGAGGGATATTTAATCTCGGGGGATTAATATTAAGATATATTTTTGGGACACTAACGGAAGATGATGCTAACGTAATAAATAACGAAATTACCAATGTCTATAATAACACCGCAGGTATAGCCAAATTATTAAAAAATCAAACTTCGATTATAAAAACTGATATTAGAATATTCGAAAAATTAAGTGTAACTCAACACAAAGAAATAACAAACTTAGTAAGTTTGGTAAAAAATAATACTTCGGCAACAAATGTTAACACTTTCAATTCTAATCTAATGGAAAGCATAGCAGGAACTGAAATTGCTTTAGATGATCTAGTAGAAATGACAACTGTAATCCTTGAAGCCATTAATTCAGGGAAAACAGGAATTGTTTCACATCAGTTGGTGTCACCTCAAAATTTTCTAAGTAGCTTACAAGTTATTAGTAATACATTAAAAATAAAAGCAATTCCATTTCCTCTGGTACCTCAGTATTATACGATGTATATACAACTAAGTACAGTTCAAATAATGATAACTGATAATAGATTAACATATGTTATACGCACGCCAATACCAACCGAACCTTTATATCACGCCTTTAAATTTATACCTGTACCTATAGCTAGTTGGACGAAATATTATATTTACGAAAATGTTGCCACAAAACCAATTGCGATCAATATTGAGCAAACCGATTATACTCTAATAGACTTAGAAAAATGTACTATCATTAATGCACTTAGGATTTGCGAAATAACGAATCCAATTCATCGATTAGCTATAGAAAGTAGCTGCTATTCATACTTAATAAGGGATAAAACGGACACAGAATGTAAAAAGAAATACTTTTCCTTATTAGATACATTTATACTATCCCTTGCGAATGGTTACAGTTGGTATATCTTACCTCGGAATACGGAAACTATCTCGATATTCTGTCCAAATTCTCCTGATAGAACTGCTGTCATAACTAGCCCTTCTATTTTTGAGTTATCACCACATTGCCGAGGATCTTTCCAAACAAATATATATCTACCACGAAGTCACACAAATTTAACAGGTATAACAGAGTATAAAATTAACATAACATTTACACATCTTGAAACTACACTTCTTCAAAATAAATTACTAACATTACCCACATTTTCAAGCAGACATATTGATTTCGATGACCTTAAAGAATCATCAAAAACATTAGATGAAATGGCATCTGATTTAGGTACACTTATCTCTTCACAATCAAAGCTCTTCTCTTTTTGGAAAATATTGCAATGGATGTCATTTTCATGTTGTATTAAATTCAGATATAATGAACAACCTACACAAACTACCATTTCGCAACCTCAAATTAACCTGCAACCCACAATATTTCTTAGGGATAGATACTCAAATGTACCAGTTTCCGAACCATCTGTAGAATTCTGTAAACTATTCTAAGGGGTGAGGTGTCAAGTGACCCACTACTTACTAAATTAGAATATTTAAATATAATACCTCTTTTCCAAACCCACTTTCTAAATATGGATTTGTAAACATATATTTTGTAAGAAATAGAAATAGAAAGTACAAACATCTTTTTGTAATACCTAAAAATAGAAAGCACATCTCGTCGACCTTATTTTTGATTTCGGTGACGGTATATAAACCGAAGGGTCTATACTAAAAAGTTAGTCTTAATCTTGTCTTTAAGTACTCGATGTAACGATTGGAAGCACTACTGCTCTTCCAACTATATAAGAATAAAGAATTATTCTATGTTATATCCTTATTAATTAATTCATTCCTTGCTAGTCCCTTAAAGTCAGCGTAAAAACCCAGTTTTTAAATAAATTAATAAAATAAAAGTTTAAAAGTGAAAACGACACGACAGTGATTTATTTGTCCTTCTACATTTTTTAATTTGTGTTGTGTTGTTTTTTTTATTCGCTTTTGTACAGTTTTGTCTTTTCAACGTTATATACCTGTTTACATTTTTTTTCTTTTCTTTTTTATATCCGTTTGCGATTTTATCTTTTGACTTTTAACACTTCTTAAATAAATTTTTTTTTATTATTGTTGTGCTGTAAATTCCGCTAGACTATGAAATAGTTTTAATCATTTTTTTAACTACAGAAACAGGAAAACCGCAGAGAGAAGAAGAGGCAGGGAAAAGGGCTCCAGAAGAAGGGTTACGGGTTTTAGTGGGTCGGGCTGGTAGTAGGTCGCTAGTTTATTTTTACTATTTTATATATTTATTTTTCTTTTTTTGTATTTCCTTTTGTTTTATCATACCAACTCCACATAACCTTGGAGTGCAGAATCCAAGGTATCTGTAGGCGATTCCCGGTCATTTTTCCGAAAAAAATTTTCCGAAAGCAAATTTCCGCAAGTTATTTTTTCCGAAAAATCATTTATTCCGAAAAAATTTTTCCGAATCCAATTCTCCGAATATAAACTTTTCCGAAAAAAATTTTCCGTATCTAATTCTTCGCATATAAATTAGTAAAAAATTTTGCCAAATAAAGAAATTTAAAAAAAAATAATTGAAATCTGTTTCTTAACCAATATACGAGACAATCTGAGAAATAACTTAAAAAGGCTTGCAGAACAAATATCTTAAATCGAATCAGTTTTAAAAAAGTTTAATCTTTTAATATAAAGAAAACTTTGATCATATGCAAAATGACTAAATAAACAATTTTTGTAAGTTTTAAATATTTTTCTTGAAAATTGAAATTTGTTCTTCCAGAAGATACGAGTAACAATAATATTAATATTCATTAATATATACAATAATAATGATAATATTCTTTAATGTAAATTTAATATTTTTTCTGAAGGTCTGCATACCTATAAACAACCTCCTTAAACGTAAAAACACGCAAGGAAAATATCCGTAATAAACAAAATATGACATTGAATTAAATTCCATAAATATTTTTATGGAAATAGCGAATTTTCGAAATTATTAATTTTCGGGAAAATTATTTCGTAAATTTAAATTCGGAAATTTTTTTTTCGGAAAATTATCTTTTCGGAAAATTAGACTTGCGGAAAATTTTTTTTCGGAAAAATGACCGGGAACGCTGTAGGCATATTTCCCAAAATTCCCTAAGCAAAAAAAAAAATAATAATTATAATAATAACCGCTTGCAATGCGTCAATGCCACGCAAAGGCGCCACTCCCGTAAGAAGATCCTTGCACTGGTGGTCAGAGGAGCTAGCCTCCTTGAGGAAGGAATGCCTCAAAGCAAGAAGGACATATACCCGATCTAAGGGAGATCCCTTGCTGAAAGAGGCTTTCAAGGAGGCGAAAAAGAACCTCAAGAAAGAGATCCGCAAGTCGCGACGCCGTAGCTGGAAGGACCTAATCGAGAAAGTCGATAAGGACCTATGGGGTCTGGCTTTTAAAATCGTTACTAAGAAATTAGCGACGAGGCAAAAGACCCCCGGCCTGGACAATCCCGATTGGGTCAGAAAGATAATAAATTCTTTGTTTCATCTTGCAGAGCCATACCTTAGAAGGAACTGGAGTTATTGCAAAGTCGAAGAGGAAGAACTCTTCACACTTAGTGAACTGCAAAAAGCAGGCAAAAGATTGAAAACAGGCAAGGCGCCTGGAATCGATGGGATAAGTAACGAGATCCTAAAGTTGGTAATCGACACTTTACCCCAGATTCTGCTTCGATGCTTCAATCTTTGCCTTGAGAGAGGAGAGTTCTTTCGCGACTGGAAGCGACAGACGTTAGTCCTCCTAAGGAAAGGTGAAAAACCTTTAGATAAGGTTTCATCATACAGGCCTGTATGCCTGTTGGATACGATAGGTAAACTTCTAGAGGATATGGTTCTGCAGAGAATGCAAAGCCACTTGACCGGAGAGAATAGTCTATCGGATCACCAATTTGGTTTCCGTAAAGGCAAGTCCACAGTTGATGCCATCCAGGCAGTTGTGGACATAGCCAAAGCAGGAAAAAACAAATTGGGACCTGGGAAAAAGAAGAGCTTCTGCGCGTTGGTAGCAATTGACATACGCAACGCGTTTAATTCCGCAAGATGGAAAGATCTTATCGAGTCGATAAAAAAGAAAAACATGCCGCCCTACTTGTTGCGGATAATGGATAATTATCTTAGCGACAGGTGGGTTATATATGAGGGTGACACCTGCACTCTTAGGGAAGAGATGCAGCGTGGGGCTCCTCAAGGCTCGAGGGTGGGTCCATTTGTATGGAATGTATCTTACGATGATTTTTTGCGAATGGATCTGCCTGAAGGTGCGGTGATCATCGGCTTTGCTGACGACGCGTTGTTCGTGTGCACTGACGAAAGTGAGGAGGCTCTTGGGACATTGGTGAACGAATGTCTGCGACTAGCTAAAAGCTGGCTGGATACCAGAGGTCTTGAAATGGCCCTGGAAAAGACCGAGGCACTGCTGGTCACAGACAGACGTGGTTATGAGCTCTTACGAATCGTGATAGACGGATTCGAGGTCAAGTGGAGTAAGCAAATTAAATATCTTGGTGTGGAGTTGGATGGAAGGTTAAACTTCCACCACCTCATGGCTACGGCTTTAAATAAGGCGATCGAGTGTGCGGCTAATCATTCACGGTTAATGCCAAATGTAGGCGGACCCCGTGAACACAAACGGAGACTGGTGGCAAGTGTCGCCCACGCTAAAATGCTCTATGCAGCACCAGCGTGGGCCCCACCCCTGAGGTGCAAAAGATGTGTGACCATCTGTGAAAAGATACTGTCGGCGCAGAGATCGATAACAACGCGTATCATCTCTGCATATAAGACGGTATCTACGAGTGCTGTGCAGGTCCTTGCAAGTGTCCCGCCAGCAGATCTTTTGGCGAGGGAAAGGGAAGAAATGTTTCTCTTTTCTAAAGAAAGCAGTTCCTTGGATGAGGAAATAAGACCAAGCAAGGGTTTGATCCGCAAAGAAGCGAGGCACAGGCTCATAGAAAGATGGCAAGAAAGATGGGATAGTGAGGAAAAAGGTCGATGGACATATCGCCTTATCCCGGCACTCGCCACCTGGATAAATAGGAAACACGGTCAGGTTTCCTATTATATGACTCAGGCGCTCACAGGTCACGGGTGTTTTAACTCGTACCTGTGTCGCTTTTAATTACGCGAGGACGAGGTGTGTGCATATTGCCAGTTCCCTGAGGACAACGCGGAGCACACCCTCTTCTCATGCAAGAAATGGGACTTAGAGAGGCGGGCCATGTTTGAAGGTGTAAACAGTCAAGTTACACCGGAGAACATGGTATCGCTGATGACCTAGTCAGAAGAGAATTGGCGGCAAGTCGAGAACTTCATAATCTCGGTTATGTCGAGGAAGGATCTCGACGGCCGCCAAAAAGCGTAATTTAAACAGCTTTTAATTTGTTTGTTTGTCTTTTTTATTAATTTATTTTGTGATTTATTTGTCCTTATACATTTTTTAATTTGTCTTGTGTTTTTTATTTATTTTTGTGCAGTTTTATTTTCTTCAAATTATACGCGTTTATTTTTCTTTTTTTTATATATCCGTTTACAATTTTATCTTTTGACTTTTCACACTTAATTAAACATTTTTTTTTATTATTGTTGTGCTGTTAATTCTGCTTTTATATTGAAATAGTTTTAAATTTTTAACTATTAACGCAGGATAGCCGCAGAGAAAAGCTGAAAGTCGCATTAGCGACAGAGTTGGAGCGCCACCCTCGAAGGCTAAAGTCTTACGACAGTTCTGAGGGAGGGTAAAGGGCTCCAGAAGAAGGGTTACGGGTTTTAGTGGGTCGGGCTGGTAGTAGGTCGCCAGTTTATTAAATTTATTATAACATTTATTTATTTATCTTTTTTTAATATTTCCTTTTGTTTCATTTTACCAATTCCACATAACCTTCAAGTGCGGAATCCAAGGTATCTGTAGGCAGATTTCCTAAAAGTCCCTAAGCAAAAAAAATAAATAATAATAATAATAATAATTAGGTATTAATATATTAATTAAGCACATTAAATTTTATATTAATTAGTTAAATAAATAATTTATAAACAATTTACAGAATATATATAATTGAATGGAAAATGTCTTTTTAATATTATACAGTAATAATTATTTATTATATTATTAAATTACATTAATATATTATAAATATTTGATATTTATTATTGTTTTTAATACTATTGTTATTAATAATTAACTATAATAATCTTCGTATTCTTTCATTCAGTCTGTCCAGAGCGTGTACATTCTGTCCGCAGTGAGAGAGAAAGGTTGATAGAGAGAAAGAGAGGTAAGTATCGCCTGTCCTTTTAGTTTAGAGTAGGAGCGAAAGAGAGGCGAATATTATTATTATATCTATATATATTAAGTTAGTCTTTCCTTATATACTCTGTTCACAGTGAGAGAGAAAGAGAGGGAGGGAGGTATTGTCTCTCCTTTTAGTTTAGAGTAGGAGCGAAAGAGAGACGAATAGTTAAGAAAGTAATTCCCACTTTTTGGGTTTAGAAGGGGGTACCATGTTTTCTCCATTTTCCGTGTCAGGTAGAAAGAGAGGAACAGAATTTGATAGGGGAAGGAAAAGTGGGGAATTTTACTTTCAAGCAAAAAAAGGAAATGGTCGTCTTATTTCCTTATTGGCTAATTATTTTTCTTTTTTCACTCACAGATAGATTAAGGAGTAAAAGAAAGGCAGATCGAGAACGAAGTATGAGTGAGAGGTATAAATTTTATCGTTGTTCCATAAACCAAATGGACAATTTTTCATCAATTTTTGACTCCCACCCCGCCTCCAGTTGTGAACAATCGCAAATATTTTAAAAAACTAATTCGTATAATTATTTAATGTCGCTTCTACAATGGGCAAGTTCTACGTTCACGATCGACGTGCCGCGCTTGTGCTACGAGCACGAAAGCAAGTGTTGCCAACTGATTTGACTTGCAGCTGAAATTTGTCATCAGCGTGATATCGAAATGTATGAAATAAAAAATTGTAATTATAAATTGCAATTTATACTTGTAAATTTACTTTTGACCGCGTTAACAGTGTAGTTTAATCAATGAGCAGTGAAATGTGTTGTATATTGAATTAAGTATGGTAAAAATATAGTTTTTAAATTATGTTTATTTATTGTGTTTATATATTAATTCATAAAACTAATTCGATTCCAAATGTCATGAATTAATTTTGTAAATGAATACTTAATATTAAAAATATTTAGTCTTTTTATAATTATTAATATTTCTAAACTTCAAATATTTAAATTTTTAAATAAAAATATTATATTTTAGTTTAAAGCTAATTGGAAGCAATAAAAACCAGTAAGTAATTCTATACTTCATCAGCGATATAACCCCATTTTACGGTATTTTATTGTAATTTTATTGTAAATTATAATAAAATTGAAATAATAAACATATACACAAAAAACAATTTTTTATCTATTTTAATTAAAACAACAACAAAAAGAAGATATCTTATACTTTGAACAGAAAATTCTAAAAATCTATTCTGCGTAAGTACAATAATTTTTTTTAATGACAATGAAATCTTTGTTTGGAGTTTAGTATATGTTTGTGAATTTAATTTGCAAAACATAGAAAACTATTTCACAGTAGTTGTAGAAGTAGCATTAGAAATTTAGTACGCAGCAATTATATAGCTAAATAATCACTGGACTTTTCTGTGATTAGTCCATTAATGGTTCCATTAATATTTTCCGTAATTAATCTACTAATTATTTTTCTTAAGGAAATTACAGTGTAGAATATTTTTATGCTGCATTTAAAAAGTCGTATTGTTCAGATATGCCTTCTGATATATATGTCTTCTGCTTTCTCACACATTAAAATTCACCCTTAGCCTTTAAAATTTTAACTATGAAAGAACCTTTATGTTTTCGTTCTTTACAGTTTTGAGGTTATGTGCATACCCTGTTTTATTATCTTGCAATTTTGTTTAAGCAATCAAAGGTGTTTAAATTGTGGTAAAAAAATCTGTTGTTGTTACAAATAATCTGGTTTGGATTTTCATCTGCAAAATATTATGTGTGAATAGAGAAGATTATATTGAAAAATAGTACTTAAAAAAATAATTGTTGTTCAATAACTTAACAATGATTATTCTTGCCATATATTTATTTACAATTGCTGCCGAGTGGATGAATATTATTAATTTGTATATTCGATGGCGGGAAATTGATTACGGAAATTTTCGTCGGTGGTGGGTTAAGCCTCATATTAGGGAACAATGGCGAGAAATACATGGTCTATACAACGCTTTGTTTTTCTATTTCTTGCACAATGATCATGAAGAATTTTACGAAATGGCTCGGATGACACCAGATCAATTTAATTTGTTATACAGCATGATTGAACATAGACTTCAAAAATTCAGTTTGAGACGACCTTTACCAAAAAGACTTCGATTAATTCTTACGTTAAAGTAAGTGAAATACTAACTAAAGTAAATGTGTGTAGCATTTATGAATTTTTTTCAAGGTTTTATAGTTGCATGTTTATTTTTAAAGATATTTATCTCAAAGGTGCTGATATGTAGTTATTTTTTAATGTTATTTATTTTACAGTGTAAATGATCGATTTTCAAACAAACATTAAAATAATTGCCGGATCCTTCTATACAATCATCGATGTATTAAGTTTTATAATTATAAACAATAAATTTTAACGCGAATTAAAACTCAGTTTATTTAGATATTAAAGACTAATAAAATTTAAAATAAAAGAGAACTTCTATTTTTATTGAAAAATTAAATGCTTAATATAAATTGAAATCAAGAAGAAAGTTGCATGGGTTCCATAATCTTTCGCTTAATTTATTAATTTAACATCCATTATCATGATAATTTTATAAATTTTAATTCTATATAACATAATAAATAATATTGACACAATGTAACATAGTATTAATATAATTAGCACAAAAGTAGAATAAACCAAGAAATACTCGAACATTTAGTCAAATAATGTTTAAACAGGGTTCATACAGAAATCCAAAATTAAAATTCCATATCATTTCCATGATTTTCAGGTCAAATTTTTAGAAAATTCCAGTGAAATTTTAAATTTAATTTCCACATCGTAACCGAATTTTTTTAAATTCAACATTTTTGCTTCTTTTTTATGGCATTTAGCTTCATTATTTTTGGGCTCTTCAAAAACACTTTACTTATTTAATAGTCTCCATCCTTTGGTAAAAAATCTAACATTATCGAAAATTATCAAAAATTCAACATTTTTTCTTCTTTTCTAGGGCATTTAGCTTCATTATTTTTGGGCTCTTCAAAAACACTTTACTTATTTAATAGTCTCCATCCTTTGGTAAAAAATCTAAAATTATCGAAAATTATCAAAAATTCGAGAAACCGAATTTCTTAAAATTCAACACTTTTTCTTTTTTTATGGCATTTAACATAAATATTTTTGGGCTCTTCAAAAACACTTTACTTATTTAATTGTCTCCACCCTTTAGTAAAAAATCTAAAATTATCTTAAAATTTCTGATTCAATTTCTTTTGAAGAAAAAAAATAGAAAAAAGGAAAAATTTAGAAACTTTTCAAAATTCCAGGCCTTTTCCATGATTTCCCTGATTTCCAGTAGCCTTTTAAAAATCTCATACCATTTCCATGATTTCCAGATTCTGTAGGAACCCTGTTAAAAGAAAAATCTTTCAGTGATTCTGTATTAACAAATTATTAAATTGAATGGAATAAAACAAATAGAAAATAGAATAGAAAAATAACATATAACAAAATAGAATTTTGGGAAGTATAATTTATTTAATTACATAAAAATGATTAAAGAAACATTTAATTTTGTAAAGCTTTTTTTGTTTATCCAAATTGTGTAAAAAATATTCAAAAATTCAAAAACTTTTACTTTTTAAAAATCACAATATTAAATTTTTTTAATCAATATTATTTTAAAAATATTTTTTTCATGAATTTAAAAATAAATACTTATTCTTCTTACACAAAATAAAAAAATATTTTCTTACATTGAAATAAATTAATTAATTACAGTTAAATAAGTATTAAGTATAGTCAATTAGAACTTTTAATAAATAAATTTTATACTTAATTCATGCGAAGCGTTTAAAAAAAATTTTTACTTTATTTGTTTTATTCTGCAGCTTTTTAGCGCATGGTGACAGCACCAAAACTACTTCAACTCTTTTCTATATTGGTCGTTCAACTACTTATAAAATAGTGCACGAAGTTTGTTCTGTCATCTGGGATTGCTTATCTCCTCGATATTTAGCAGTAAAAGACGCTTTTGATTGGCAAATCGTTGCACGCAGTTATTTCGAGAAATGGAATTTTCCAAATTGCTTGGGTGCCATTGATGGAAAAGAAATTCGCATTAAAAAGCCACCTCACTCTGGATCTCTGTTTTGGAACTACAAAAAGTTTTTCAGTTTCAAACTTTTGGCCGCATGTGATGCACACCTTCGTTTCACTTGGATTGACGTTGGCGATTATGGTAATATAATTTTATAAATTAATTCTTAATGTACAATACTTTTTATTTTCATTGTTATAATTAATAATATATTATTTTAGGATCCGTAAGTGATGCATCAGCTTTCCTCTATACAGATTTATACACTGCTCTTGAACATAATGAATTGGACTTGCCACCTGCTGCAGCTATACCCAGAACGAATATAGTAGTTCCTTATGCATTTGTTGGGGATGCAATATTTCCATTCAGAAACTATCTCATGAAGCCATTTGACAGAAACCATAGGTTGACTGAAAGGCAAATCTACTACAATTACAGGTGATTGAAAAAGAAATATACAATATACAGTCCGGGGAATCTATTTATAATTATCCTAAAAGCGCCGATTTATTATTTATTTATTTTTAAATTGAATTCCTTAATGATAATGTATCAAGTAATTAAAAAAATTTTTCTGAAAAAGTTTTTTCATAATTTTCATTCAGTGGAAACAGTTCTGTTTAAATGATATGTACATAAATACTAATTAATATAAATAAATACTAATTAATATTACTATATTAATAATATTATTGTTTTATAAAAATCAAATTTTAATCGTTTAAAACATTACAAATTATAGTTAGAGACAAGTAGACATTGTTAAAAATCTTGTTTTTAAATTGGATTAATTATTTATTTATATTATTAATTAATATAAAATCTTTTGCAAATGATTGATCTTATCAAAAATAAATATTTTCAACAGAAACCAACTAAAATTATCAAAATATATGCTAGGGGCATACAAGTTAAAAGTTTTATAGATATATGTCCAAATTCAGGGTTTTCATACAACTGTTTACAGTTGTATCTTGAATACTGTAAAAAATTTCTTTTATTTTATCTGCGAAAATGTAAAATTTTTAAATAGTTAATTGCTGAAGGTAAAATATTTTTAAAAAATAAAAATAAGGTATAATATTTTATACTTATTAAAGAGAAAATTGTGAAAAATGTTGAATTTTTTGTTCAAAATCAGTAGTTTGTTAAGCTTTAAAATTATTAGAAATTCATTGTGTAAGCCTAAATTTTTCATATAAACACCCTGAGATTATTTTATAAAAAAAGAAACATAAAAAATTTTATCCTTTACGTATTGATCAGGACAATTTTATTTTTAGGTGATTTGCAAACTTAATTTCGTGTTTTTGACATGCTAAAATCAAAGAAAATGAGAAAATGATGAATTAAAATTTTTAAGTGAGACTTTAAATTCATATTTTCCAAAAAAAAATATTTTTTGTAGCATTTCGAGAAATATTATATTTTTTGGTTAGGTTTTACAAAATTTCCTGACATTCTATTAATATTCTATTTATTAAAAGAAATTTATTATTTATTATTAATAAAAGTGACCTAGTAACATGACATTAAATGCTCTTTTACTTTTTGTTTAGATTATCCAGGGCTCGTAACACAATCGAAAATTCATTAGGTCTGCTTGCAAATAAATGGAATATTTTAAAAAATGATATGGACTTCAAATTGGCGAATTCTATTACAATTGTTCAAGCACTAGTATGCTTGCATAATTTTTTAATAACAGACGAATTGTTGTTAGATGAAGAAAACCGGATGTACGCTGATCGCGATGTTAGAGGAAATGACGAAGAAGATGGTCGACCAATTTTTGAAGACTTCAATGTTCCTGCAAATGTTTTTGCACAGAGAAATTTACTAGCAGATTATTTTAATTCAGAGGAAGGTGCTTTAAGATAAAATGTAATTTTCACCCTTTACATGTAATTTTTATTTTACAATCATTTATTAATTAATTTAATAATTAAAATATTGTACAAAAAAATTAATTGTTTATTTTATGTGAATTTCAAATTGTAGGTCAAAAGAAGACGCACTTTTCATAAAAAATAAACCAATATAATTAAGAAATAAAACTTTTTTGTTTTGATGTATTTGTTTTGGAATGTTTATATATTTTTCATAATTTATTTACGAGTACAAATTTTATTTAAATTAATTTTATTTTTTCATTTTCTAATGGGTAGCAACAATTTTGACGTGTCTAAATTTTTCCAAATTCCCAAATATTCGAATGCTTACTTATCCGATTAGACAAATGTCTAAATTCCCGTTCATCTTGATACCTAATCGATTCCTATTTATCCGAATAGCCGAATGCCCATTTATACGAGAAGCAAAATGTCCAAATTCTTATTTATTAAAATGCTAAAATATTCGGATGACCATTGTTCCGAAAAACCAATGTTCCGAATTCCCATTTATCAGAATATATCCAAATGACCAACTTCCAATGTAACCGAATAGTCAAATGTCCTATTTTCCTATTTCCTATTTATTTGAAAATCCAAATATCCTCATAATCATTTATCCGTATAGATAAATGGGCATTCGGAGATTTGGCTTTTCGAATAATTTCGTATTCGGCGTTTTGAATTTCTGAGAAATGGGAATTCGAACATTTTGGAATTTTTAAAAATTCTGTCACTGTCCTCCAATGTCCTTGTGATATTTAATTTAGTTTTATAATAAGTTTTGTTTTTTTATATGTTACCTTTTATTTAACAATATTTTCATGTATAGTAATGCAATAAGGCAATACTTTAATCAGATAAAGAAACGAAATCTTGTGCCTAATTAATATATTATTAATTTGAATTATTTGAATTTTTTTCTTTTTACTGTACATTATTTGACAATTAGCATTATGTAAATGTAGGTATATTTTATAAATTGTGTACAAGAAATTTGCTAAAATGTGTAACGAATAAAATAAGTAAATAAATATTAAACGACATTAAAAATGTTTTTTTTTTTTCAACATACAATAATTCGTTTCAAACATTTCTTTTGATTAAAAATTTCTTTGCAACTCTTTCATTTGCTTTTGAATTTTTTAATGCACAATGTAAAGTGCATTTAAATAATATATTAATTTATAACACCCAAACATTTAAAGGGGAAAAAACGAAACATAAAAATATATATGCATTTTTGATGTAGTTAGAACGACATTTCTCCTAATACAATTTTTCAATTTTAGACAACATGTTTATACATTTTTTTGTACTAATCTACGTATAACTCTACTCTTTATGAGAATATTTTCATCTGTTGATGTAAATTTAAAAAATTTAATGTAACATTGCATATATGACATCTTTTATAACACGCGACAATTTTATTCATTCTTATTGGTGTCAATCCAGCGAAAATCATTTAGAGCTGGTTGCACGATGATTTTTAAAATGTCTGCAATCAATATATAATTTTCTGGGATACAATTTAATTATCATTTAGAGTTTTTTCACCGCCAAGTATGTTTTACTATTTTTAAAGCGTTTTAAAAAATTCAACAAATTATGAGCTAATAAATAGTCTATTTAACAACGATACAGAAAAATTTAGTGTAAATTAGAAAAAGTATATGATATATATTTTTTATAATATAGATTTTATTATAATATCTGAATGAATGTAAATTTTTTTAAGATTACCCACCTACATATTTTAATTGCAATTCTTGCGTTTCTGCAAGTGCTAATTTTTTTCGTATATCTTTCATTATTATTTTACATTTGAAAAATGTGACTTTAATGCATTTTTCGATTTACTGTCAACTAAAGTTATTCACTTTAATAATAACTTCAGTTCCGAAATTAAATCGAAAAATTTATTAAAATCAGGTTAAATCTACACATTTTTCTAGTTTTTGTAAAATAATAACGAGACATGATTTTAGGAATTTTGAAAATCATCGAGCGACCAGTTCTAAGATTTTCGCTGGATTGATCCATTGCAAAAAACAAAGTAAAGTATTAATAAATATTGCAGTTCTGTAAAAAGTCCTAAACCCGACCATACAATTTCGGGCATTTGAATACATTTGGGCTTTTGAAAGTTTTCATTGTGAAAAATGAATTAAATTTATCATTAAGAAACATTAGACTCTTTGAGTACTGGAACTGCTAGATAGATTTAGTACTCGAAATTTTTGAAGAAAGCAAAATTTTGTTCACTTTAGTGGATTCAAAAACCCAAATAATTTGTGGTTATCCGAAAATTTTTAGGTGTTGCAATTTTTCGGGTTGCTTGGCTTGACCCGATCCGAAAAATAGTCAGCCTGACCCGACTGTTTGCATACTTCTAATAAATATGGATAAAGTAAAACATGACTACAATAAGAAACTAATAAAATTAAAAAAAGTACGCTACTAAGAGCGTTTATCTTTTATCTTATGTCAATTATTAAAAAATTATGCGTTTTAAAAATCACAATAAGGATGTGCGTTTAATTTACTTCAGTTAACATCGAGTTGCCGCAACTCGAATTTGACACACAACTGAATTAGAACTAGTTCTTCATACTAGTTTACGACAAATAAAGTAATTTTTAAATACGATCATCTTCTTCAAAAGATTCCATCTCATCTAAAATTTTTGGAAGTATCTCTCTTTGCTGTTGTATGGAGAGAAGTACAAATTGCCTTTGAATTATATTGAAAAATCCATCTGCGTTCAATCTTAAGTCGTTTCCTTTTTCAACAGAATTATCTTTAGTCTCATTTTTTCCGAGAGATTGTTTCCAATCTATGTATTCTGATATCTTACTTGTTGCTTGAGAAAGATTTGAATTTGCAGATTTCATTGAATCTGCAAGTTCTTCACGTAATGAATCCTCCTTTTTCTTCTTCCGCAAAGCAAAACAGTCCCAAGTTGGAGCAATTTTCCCTGTTGATGTTTCTTTTCTACTGGAAATTGCAGCAGGCGATCCTCTTTTATACATTGTTTTCTTTTTTGTTCCTGAATTGATATTAGAATGCATCGATGTGGAATGTTTGCTTGATGATGTCAAATTATCATTTGTCGCTGACAGCAAAGACGATGGTATTTCTATAGCAGGGGATTGAAAAATGTTTGGAGCCGATGATGAAAACGAAGACTGAGGATTTATTGTTGACAGAGATGCTGCAGCCGATGAAGAGGCTAAACTTTTTGGTATTTCAGCAGTGCTTTTGGAAGAAGCAGTAGGAATTGTAACCAGGTTGAAGAAAGAAATTGGTGAGGAAACATTCAAAAAAGGTCTTTCTGAAGAAGACATGGATTTTTCTGATGATGTAGAGATTGTTGATGAATTCGTTAATGGTGCTCTCAAACTGCTAGGTAATAAAGGAGAAGTAGAAACCGTACACAAATTGGAAATCTGAGGCGCTGAAGTTGATAAAGTTACTGCAGATGTGGATGAAGGAGACATTGATATTTGCGAAGGTATTCGTAAACCTGTTGATAAAGTGATCAGCGGTGCCGTTGAAGCAATAATTCCAGATGCTGCAGAAACATGAGGTGCCAA